AAATGAAATTCTGAGTAGTGCATTCGAAAGCACTAAAATAGCACTAAATTCCGATATAACATTTTTTAATTTTGTTTAAATATTTAAATGTGGGGGTGCTAGCTTTATAAACTTAGCACCGCCATTTTCAATCGCAATTTTCTGCTCAACCAGACGAGCACTAAAATTAGGAAGTGGGCACTAAATTAGCACTAAAATAGCACTAAATTATGATCTATAATTTTTTATTTTTTTTGATGGTGGGGGTGCTAGGTTCACGCGGGTTAAATCCGGCTAATGTGAATACTTTCGCCGGTAGTTAAATTACACACCCTTAAAAACCTTTATATTATTCAGCCACTTCAAATGGATGGTTCGCAGAAGCTAAACCGTCTCCAATCCCCATTCCGCTTCCTCGGGGACGCTTCTAGTTAAGCCGGTCTCCCGTTGAAAGATTGTATTCTCCATGAAGTGGATTCGGCGGGGAACTGACACGATGACAGTTTACACATTATCAATGCAAGCGACAAACAATTGTATCCGTTACAGTACGCTGAAATACCGTCTCCCGAGGAGAAGAGTAATGACAGGACCGTATCGGACAAACGCGAGCACTTTGAGTTTAAGTCTTAAACAGTCCCGAAGGTTAGCGCTTCGAGACTCGGCTAAAACGTGTCGGGGAATTACAAGCATTATATCCAGACGCAGCAGAGCCGGTTCGTTCACATAAGTGCATTTCGCCATGATATAATTAAACAGTAATGTTCAAACATTGCGATTTCGATGAATAAACGTGCGTATTTTCTACACTGGTGGTTGAAACAAGCATCGAACAGTATAGGGAAAGTTTGCATAATGAACAATATCGACAATGGAGAAGCCGAAATTCGGAGCAACGTCTCGTTTCAATAATCAACAATTCCGCCAATTGTGATGCTGGGCGAGAGAAGGGAAGCATAAAGCGAAAGGGAGAAGCATTGGGAGAAGGTCGGACGTCTTAACAGGGCGCCAGTTCATGTTGAGAGCGAACATTCGCGGCTTTGTCAGGAATTAATGTACTGCGAAACGCCTGTAAGCCCGGACATATGATCGTAAAATATCGTAAAATATTTACCAGAGGATCGAACTAGGTAGGCAACAATAATTACACATTTTTAATCGGTCTTTTTCCGGAGTGTTTAAGGGTTGGGGGTAAGTTACTTCTTCACATCGCCGAAGAATGTTTTTGTTCTTGCAAATTTCACCAGAAGGTCTTTCTAAGCCCACCCCCTCGATGGCCATCCACCATTGAGCCAGAACTCTCATCATATATCTACTGGTATTGCCATGCATATCGGATAAATAAATTTAAAAAGAAAGCGTTTCTATTCTATTTTTTTTCTTCTGGTTATAATTTCGAAGACGTGCCGCCTGCGATAACTTTAGGCGATTGGAAAAACTCTTTCGTTCGTCCTGGCTCGAATAAAAAGTCTTTTTTCAAGTTTGTTCGGAAGTCGAAGTCGTTACGTTGACGTAATTTCGGTAGTTTTCAGTTCTCTTTATCAACTCAGGAAAACTTTAAATAACGTTTGCAATATAAATAGTGTGCATCAATCAAATCGTAAATTTTCCGTATCTGCTCCGGATTGATCTTGTTTATGCGAGATATATAAATTTATTTACTTCATTCTCACTAAAAGTTTTTCATATTATTAATATCTCCTTGAGTCTGGCTATGAAGATATTTACATACCCACTCCCAAAAAAAATTCGGCTCAAAAATCAATTAAAAAACCGCAATAATGATGAGCGAAGGAGCTCCTTTTCAGGAGTAGTGTGGAGTATCGGTGGCCGCATAAAAATGAAAAGTTGTTTTATTCCCTCAAAGGAAGTGATGTTATAGAGAGGCGTCGGAATCCATATACCATTCACTGTGATTTAAGCCGCTTTCAGGCAGATTACTTGGAAAGCGCCCTTTCGGAAACGATCATCCCTCCATAATTTAAAGAGTGGAAAACACTGACTGGCTCCTTATGGAAGGTTCCCTTATACGAACAGGCCCTTTATAGAATGGAAATCGGAAATCGAGAAAATAAGAAGGAATATATTTCATGAATATACGTTTAAGTCCTCTTGGTATGTGTTGTGGTATATTTTATTTTTTCCTAATCTTCAATAATTAATGTGGAGTAAAAACACTTTCTTGGTAATAAATATCTTACTCTTCTAGAGGTTGAAAATGGTGCCTTGTAAATTTTTGAGGTTGCAACAGACGCGTTTTACGGTTGAAGATAAATCGAGCAGTTGAAGTTGAAAACAAAGAAATAATCTGTTTCTGGTGAATTAATCCTTTTGATCGACGAAGGAGAGATTATCATTTTCTTTGTTCAAGTTCTTTACACTCACTGCTGGAACTAACACATGCCTGATCTTTAAAAGATCAGCGTTATTAAGAGCAGGGGCGCGCAGGATTCTTTTCGAGAAATCCATCCTGTTGAGAAATTGATTCCACAGAAATAAATAAGATTGGGCTGAATTGGAAAAAGTTGTTAGTAAGTAACCTCATCAAGTGCGATTAGTTGTTTATTAAATTTAAGATGTTTGCTTAATCTACTATGGAGTAATCCAATAAATTTTCGATTTGCTGGTATCGATTTGTTCTGATGAAAAGACGGAAAATCCGGGGGTTAATTAGAAACGCGGGATTTTCTATTAGCTCGCCGTCCCTGATTGAGCGTTCGATGCGGTTTTCCAGAGTCGGAAAGTAATAAAATACAGTGTCGTTGAAGTGTAAAAGCAACGACGTGCTCTCATTCCTTAAAGCGGGAAGGAAACGCTAAATTACCGATGAGGCGAGAATATAGCCATGATTTACACCACACTCAAACTCTCTCTTTCTTCGCATCGTTTCTATGTTGATTTCGATGGCCTTTGTCGAACTGCAGTCATTAGTTTAACGGTATATTTTTCCACTACTTACCACATTTGCACGTTCCCTAATACTCTACTTTTATTTTTCTTTCTTAGCTTAAATTCACCATCCTTATATCCAGTGATGTTAAAATTACTTTATAATATGTAATTAATTACAATTACAATTACTTTTGGCAAATTGTAATTAATTGCAATTACAATTACAAAATTTGCGAATGTAATTACAATTACAATTAAAGTTACAATTATAATTACAACTACAATCACAATTACTTTGCTTTGGTGTCAGTTTTAAATAATTATTTAGGGATTTGCAATCGGAATTAAAGTTTCCACGTATTGAAAATATTAAATAAGTACTTTTGTGTCCAATGTAATTGAAATGTAATTGTAAAATGTAATTGTAATTGTAACGAAAGGAGTAATTGAATTACAAATGAATTACAATTGAGGAGCTTGTAATTAATTACCGCCTCAATTACAATAAAAGTAATTCAATTACTTTTTCAATTACTTGTAATTAATTACTTAACAACACTGCTTATATCCTTACATATCTTATTTTTTCGTTAATCGATCGATGAAATTATTGTTTATCGAAATATTCCGGAATCTGGTCGTTTAATTCATTCGTCTGTGTTGGCAGAACTGCGTTTTAATTGAAAAGAAGAATTTTAACGCGGCAATTCACGTCGTTCGGATCGTTTACAAGGCCGATAAAAATTTTTTACCTTTATTTTTATCACGAAATCAGCTGAAATTACTAGCGTTATGCCTTTATCGCGGTTCGTTATGGCACATCATAAAGAATGGAAATTCTTGCCAATCAATGCGACGCTATTTCAGATGTTATTAAAAAATCAATGGGCCCCAGTCGTCGGCGATACAAAATTATTAAAATGGCTTGCCAGATATTCGCGTGTTAACAGCTTTATTCCATTTATACATTTAATTTATCATTAAGATTCGGAGTTTTGAAGTGTAATGTTCAAACTGTTCTAAAGTAAATTATTAAGGGTTGATTTTTTATTACACCAGCTACAGTTCCGTGAGGCATGCCTAATATAGCACTGAGCTGGTATTTACACAACTAGTTTATTCGCCTTACAACTAATTTTAATGTTTATATTAGTACAGAAATGCTTGCTTAGTTTAATGCATACAAACACAACTTTATGTATACATAACGTGGAACCGCCAATATTAACATTCTGTCAAATGATTTGGGAATAGGGAAGAATTTGTATCACAAATTGTGAGTATATTGTACAGAGTAAAAAATTCTTAGGTGTGTACTATTTGGGGATAAAATAGGTGTATTTTGCGGTTGATTTATTATATGTAAATTCATAAAAGTGGTCAGTTCTATACTGTGTTGGGTCTCCTAGAAACTTGGCTAATACAATCAAGATTTCTAGTTCTCAAGGGGTTTCAAACTTCGAATGTCCCTACCCTTACTTGGTGATAAAAATCGCTACCCTCTTTCGGTCTCCATAGAACAGAGGCGCCTCCACGATAAATTTCCTCCAATAATCGAAACAGAACTGTACAAGCCTCATCGAACCAAAAATACTAGTACAAATTTCACGAATTATTTAACCAAAACCAAAAATTGCGCTGTCTGAACTCATCGAATTCTCCACATTCTTCGCCGAATTTCCCGGTTTTTAGGAGTAAGTACGGTACTGGTCGATCGTCATCGCCGAGCCAGTCCATTTTGCATCCCGCACATTTATCTTAACGAGCGTTCGAGCGCAAGAAGAAAAACATTCCGGAGGGGATGTGCACCAGTCTAAGTAAATCGACCTTATCTCGCGAATTTACAAATAAACACCCCGAAGAGTGTTATGGATACGACTCCGGGGCCCGGAAGAATGGCGCGGAGGCGGTTAATGTTAGGCGGGCTGGAGTTCGAGTGGAAAAGCGGCTCTCGCCGAGAACGATGTTTACCCTTAATAATTAGTCGGAGGGTCCGGATAAAAAATAATTACGTGTTAATAAGGGCGGTGGAAATTTATCGCGGGCGAAATTTGTTTGGGTGTTTTTCTCGAATTACTGAGCGCGATTTACTGAGTGATATTGAAACTCGGTTTTTTTTTTTGTTTCAGGGCCTGGTTATTGGGGTTTGATGAATCCCCAGTGGAATATGTGCTCAAAAGGGCGAAGACAGTCACCGATAAACGTCGAACCTGACAAATTGCTGTTTGATCCCTACCTCAGGCTTATTCACATCGATAAACATAAAGTAAGTATACAGATTTCTTTCAAGAGTATTTACGAATTTACAGTATGCAGTGAATAATATTAATCTGTCGATTCTGAAAAGCAAGTTTTTTTTTTGTAATAACAGAGGCATTAATCAATTACCGCCAAAATAAAGAAGTGAAACATCATCAGAAAATAACTTTTCCCTTGCCCGATGTAAATGGAAAAAACAAAGAAAAGCCCGAAAGAACAGTCTGCTCCTAATGAAGCAAATCTTCCGAAATAATTCCGTTGAAATGCAAGTCACAGATTCAAGTGTTTTTTAAGATGATTGAATTTTTTTCCCGTCCGTCTTGAAAATTCGTCCGTTCGTCTAAACTCCGTATAATGATCCGGCTCGTTAGCGGCGGTCCGCGGGCCCGCAAATCCGCCTCCCTATACCGCCACACATCGAATGATAAATTGCTCGAGCGAAAAGCAATTTTCTAGACATTTTTACTATCACAATCATCATTTGTCGTGTATAAATATTCATTGTTTAGAGGTCTGTTTAACCTTCCAGATCAGCGAATTGGATTCGGAAAATACCTCGTTTATCGAATCTTGTATTATTTTGAGCAACCAAAGATTAGCGATGTTACCTGGGGCATGTTTCATATAACTGACAAGTCCTGTCGGACAAGTGTAGTTTAAATTTGACTGGAGTATTTGACAAGTTTGTGTTTCATAAAATTACACGAGTAGATTATTAGTGACAAGTGACTAGTCTAATATTACAAGTCTGTTTTATAATTGTAGATAGGTTTGCGTTTCATAAAAAATAAATTAAACAACACTTGTCATTTATTCCTATCATATATTAGTGTAAAGCGACAGGGACTTGATTTCCTGTCACCATCCGATTTTCTTGTAAATTTAAAAGAAAGTGTGGTCTAGCGACAGTGAGGAGGAAGCTTAATGAGAGTTTATTAAACGATTTCGAACGAATTCGATAAAAATGGAGGAAATATTAAAATCTATTGGTCCCCGCCTAATGTATAGAACCAACGTATAGAAATTATGCATTGTCTTTGTTCGTTCCAAAGCTCACATTTTATAGCTTTTGTAGAAGTGGGACTAAATTTTCCAAATAGAATGTCATTTCTTTATTAAAATACTTGAATATTAAATAAATGTTGCTGCATTTTAGAAATAAGTTTTTTGTCAATAAACGAAATTGTCGTGGTTCACATCTAAAAATAGCTCCAACCAGAAAAAAAAACAATTTCAAAGTAAAAGTCTCCCAATATCGAAAAACGAAGGTTGTGCTATACTTATGCTCCTCAGTATAGTAAGTACTATTTTTTTCTTTTTGTCTTAAGTCTGACGTTTAATTAATATTACAGTTGTAGAAAAACAAATCCCAAAAATGTAATTCGACAAGTGTCGAAATTTATTTTATGAAACGAAATTTTTAAATACTTGTCAACCAACACTTGTAACTTGTCAACTTGTCAGTTATATGAAACAGGCCCCTGACTATAATAAAATTCGATTAACTTGTAATTATTAAGATCACCTTTAGACGTGATATTTGACTACTCAAAATTGGATAAAATTCGACATAACAGAAATAACTTTTTTAGGAATCACCGTCGAGATTGCCGCAAATAAAACCGGAAAAATATTTCCACAGAAAATACAGGAAGTATCAACGTTTGCTTTTTTTGTGTTTTTCAGGTGAATGGCATGCTCCACAATACGGGCCAATCTCTCGTATTCCGCGTGGATAAAGACAGCAAAACGCACGTGAATATATCAGGGGGGCCATTAGCGTATCGATATCAATTTGAGGAGATATATATTCACTACGGTATAGAGAATCAGCAAGGTTCCGAGCACTACATTCACGGATACTCCTTTCCTGCAGAGGTAACGTATAAGCGATTTGTTTTTTTTTTATCCCCTGCATGATGATTTCGGTTTTCCAGAATCGTAAAAATATCTACATTCGAGTCATTTATGCCCGATTTCACCAGCATGTTGTTAGGTATTTCCTAACTAGGTAATTCCTAAGGTAGGAATTACTTAAATCGAATACTTACCTAAATAGAGTTTCACCAACATTAGAAATTCCTTACTAAGAAATACCTAGGTAAAAATTTGATTTCGACAATTTTTTGAATTTTATTGGTAGCATTGCCTAATTTTGACATGTAAACCGAATAAGCGGAGATCGAAATTGAATATGTTGAGAGAAAAGAAGAGCGGTTGATGATCCGGGCCATCTTTAAATTAAGTTTAGTTATTTTTAAATCTGCTGAAGATGTAGTTTGTACATTATTAGAAAAATAACCTTTCCGATTTGTAAAATATTTCTATATATTCTTCTCCAGGACTATGGATATTTACATGCATGTGTACGGTCAATAGTTCCAAAAACTTCCTGTGTATCAAATTATAAATCATCTCCAATTCATTCTAATATTTGTTATGCCGTATTTTTATATATCGAAAAAGGCGAAAAAAAAATCAGTTTCGTCCAGTTTCTAAAAACTCTCCTCCCATTTCAAATTTTCATCTAAAGAGTCTAAAGACAGTCAAGACTTAAGTCACATGAAATCACATGAAAAGTATGGTTAAGTATTTCCTAAATGTTTTAGGCAAGCCCAGTGAGCTGTCCTAACTTTAGGCATTTCCTATTACCTTTAGGTATTACTTAGTGCATGGTGAAACGCAAATTGTACTTAGGAATTCCTAAATCCGGTTTAGGTATTACCTAACTTTAGGAACTGGTTGGTGAAATCGGGCATTATTCTTCCAAATACCAACTTTCTTTATTTTAGTTTGGTTTTTTTTTAGTATTAATAACTGATAAAAATTGGCGAATTATAAGAGAGAATTCCCGATGGAGCAAACTCCTGCATCCGAAACGAGTCGTGTAGCGTGTTAACAAAAAACCCATTTCGCGGAAATTTTATTACGGGAAATAAAATGGGTGTATTGAATTCAAGCATAACTCAATTTAGGTACACACACACACTTCAATTTCTACGTGTTTTGATTCTGTTATGGCCTTCTTCGCTTTACATATACGACTCGCTGCGTGTTTAGGAAAAGTACCAGTAATTCAGCAAGAGTGCTTCTTTTATAGATTCCTTTTAAGCTGCAAGACACCACCCAAGAAAAGGTTTATACACACTCGCAGGTTTTATTTTCCGGTACATTTGTAAAAAAAATAAAAAATTTTACATGTATTCATCTTTTCGAAACTATGTCAAAGTAGTATACTTACAGCGATTATGTAAGAAGATTTTTGCGAAATTTTTACTGTGGAAAGTCGACGGATTTATTGTATATCTTTATCAGCAACTGGTAACTTCGTAACCAAATTATGAAACTTTAAAGTCAAGTTTATGATGCAGTCTACAACGTAAATTACTTCAGGATTTCTTTGAGAGTTGTTTAAAAATAAGCGAGTATTTAAAGCACTTTGTCGCAAAATGAATAATATCCAGAACGCTGCTATTAGAAACGTGTTTTTTTTTGTAATTTATCCAGAGGAATAATTGGTATTTAAGAGGCAACTCGCGAGATTGAATTGAAATTCAACTCGTTTCGTGTAGATGTGAACTCACACAGGCGCTCAGCCAGATTAAATATGAAATCAGGTGAGATATTTATCAATGTTGTATATTTTTCGTTGCTTCATCCCTTTCACATTCTATAAGACACGATGAACTAAGTCGGCTTTTAAAATTAATCCACGTAAAGTATGTGCAGGATATCATTTTACCGAAAACACGACGCGAAACTTGAAACATGTAAAGAGCCGCTACACGACGACTTAATATTCCTCAGGCGTACAAAAATAAACTTTAGATTCTACATTTCAGATATATATATGAATTCGAAGGGAACTTTTAAACAAACTACCTCCGAATAAGGTCATTTAATCCGAGTGGTTTATGAGAGTATACGCAGCAGGGGCTTTTCAATTTCCTTAAAACATTTAGAGGAGCATCGCTTTTAGTCCGGGCGTTATATCGCTCGGTGGCCTTGTGGAAAGCCATCAATTACTTCTTTTTTCCGCCTTATTTCTTATCTTTCGCTATTTTTTTATTGAAGAAAAACCATATTCGCCCGCACAATTTATTAACACTCTTATCCCGACTGGTGTGTTACATAAATTGCATACGCAGAATGTCGATTAATGTCGAACAATTTTGGCTTTCGATTTTTCACAAAGCGGGCGAAAATTTGTTTGATTTAACCTTTATTCATTACCGCATATCTGTCGAATGTTGAATAGACGACATATTGGCTGAACGTCACATTTGCATTGAAAAAAAATCCGAGCTGCGAAAATGGAGCATACTGTAAACGTAGCAGAGCGGTCTTTTGAAAAGTACGATATATTACGAAAGGGAAACGATTTCCGATTCCCACCGGCGTATCACCACCCGAAAATAACACAAATTATTTTATTTACAGTATATTAATTTAATTTCTGTAGACAAAAACACGAATTTGTAGCAGACAAATTAATTATGCTTATACTTGCCTCGTACCCTTTGGAGTTTCTAAGTTAATTTTCAGTTTGTTAAATACCCTTTTTGTAGAATGCGTACGCCACTGGTGCATCCCAGCAGCGTCTTCGCGGATTCGAAGGGCTGTTATTGAATTTCTGGAAAAGTCAACGTGATGGACTGGCGCATGTATCTCTATCTTCCGCGTTATTACTTTATTCCTATCGATTTAGCGACATTTTTATGCCGCTTGCACATATACAAGATTTGTAAACATTCGAAATGTCTAAAGGTTGGCTCTCGAATCAAACCATTACGGATTACGCGGGGCGCATGTGAATTGGCTAGATATCTTTTTCTTTATGAGGAAAATCTGCAGCAGTAATTGGTTAGGGGTAGATTTATTTGCATGGGTTGTGAGGCGCATTGGCGCATCGATCGTTACAGTGCAATTCGGTTCTTTAATTTGCCGATTATGGGTCCGTTTTGTTGGATAATAAAAGCAAGTAATAATGGCTTTTATCACTTCCGTCAAGGTTCAGCAACACCGCCATTATCTTTCCAAACTGAATTTACTGGAAATTTATTATCCAATCTAGTTTTGGACTTCGTTAAGCGCCGCGTGCGTGGCGAATCGTTCCGCATCGAAATTGCGAAATCTTTACCAATTATTCTCTGTTAAAGGTGACCGATTTTTATTCGAAACTGGTCGAATTTAACTGGTTAAAACTTACATGTTCAGGTCGTTCGAAATATCAAACTTGTCTGTTGTGCATTGTTTCTGTTATGCGCGATCCAGGTAGTTTGCTTTTATTTTATTTATCTATAAATCAAAACGAGAAATAAGCGAACTGTCACCGCAAACTGCAGGAAATAAGCGAATTTCGAATTATTTCCATCTCAGAAAATTAAAGTGTCTTTCCGATACATTATTGAACTCGCCCGAGAGAGGAATATTTACTTTCCGACTTTTTGATAATACGAAAAACAATAAAAAGTGTACACTGTTTAATTTTGGAAATTGACTGCTCTTTGCTAAATGATTTTCGTTCGAAAGAAACTTTAGTACGGGAACTAATAAATTACTTTATTTGTTGTTGTAGCGAATCGAAGTTGGAGAGAGGATGTTCTTTTGAAAAACCGAAACAAAAGAATCAAAACTCGAATTTGCCATTAGAGAACAAAAATGTCTCCTCAAACAATGCCTACAACTTCCAGTGAATTAATCGAAATCTTTGTTTTCCGATTGGAAATTACTTATAAAGCTTCAGATATGTCCTAGTTATCGAGTTACTCTAAAATAAAATTACTTTAGAGCATAATACCACAGGTTATTTGGATTATTCTAGCTTTGATTTTTTTGCAACGGGTATAGAAGGTAATTTTAGAAAAAGGGTAGATATAACAAGAAATCCTCTTCGTTTTTTCCAAACTTCTTTCAGTAGTGTCGATGACTAACAATCGGTGTTAAAATGTCTCTCCCGAGACGTTTTTGAGGAGAATTACATCTCGGGTATCAAACGATCCACTAACATTGAGACGTGAAGGTAATCCCCTTCTAAGATTTTGTTTTCGGAGGTGGATTTAGTATTCCAAAGGAATACTCTAACGCAAATCTACAAGGAATTAAAAGCATTCAGTCGTGTTATAGGATTACGGGATTTTTATTTGTACGAAAAGTGTTATTAGGTCCTTCAAGGAGACGCCAGATCGATTTCTCTAACACAAAGTGCACACAAAACGTCGTTTTTTCCGCCGATTTTTTCGTTAGTATCTAACAAAGTAAATTTTATTGCAGATCCAACTGTACGGCTTCAACAAAGAATTATACCACAATATGTCAGAAGCTCAGCACAAATCGCAGGGCATTGTCGGCATTTCGCTAATGGTTCAGGTAAGTGAATTAAAACGGATACAATAGAAGCGTATGAATCAAAAGGAAAAATAATAATCCGATGAATGATATAATAGGGTTTGAAATATATTTCCATTTTCGCAGAATGAAAGTTATCTGCATTTTTCGATATTGCCCTTTGTCTCTCTGAAATGGCACAGTTTATTGTTGCAACCGCTCTATTTTTACCTCATCTTCTACAAGTTTAGAAAAATCGTAGTTGCTAGAGAAAATTATTAAAAGGAAATATTTCCAAGAGAAAACTAATCGTGCGAACGTGGTTTTCGGACCGAAAACGATATATTCGGGGCTATGAAAGCAATATATATTTAAACCGGCGCTTCTGTTGGTTATATTTAAACAATAGAAGGGAAACAATCGAGAGAAAAGCTTAATAGAATATAATGGTGGCTAAAATCAAATTCCTGTATTCCTAAAGTTGGTCGAGTTGACAAATGGATTACTCGACGTTTTACTTTCATCTCCCGAGCGTCAGACCCATGCATGGAATTTTCCTTTCAACGTTTTACTCCTATCAAAAACATTTATGTTCATCGCTCACGTTTCGAATAATTTACACACGCGTTTCTCTTCGAGCTGGATACTCTGAGATAAATGTTGCGAGTATCGATGGTTTATTTCGAAAACTGTATTAACTTCGAATTTATGATAAAAAGTGATATTTCGGCGATTTCCAAGTCCGAATAAATCAATTTGATTTATTCAGATGGAAGGTTCTAATTCCGGACAACACATAAATGTGATTATTTATGCATGTGCATTGTAAATAGTAAATATATTCATATGCTAAAATCCATTTCATACATAAAAGAATTATTATCATTTCAATAAGCTTCAGTGTAAACGAACTTACTAATTGTTACATTTCCAAATGTTTATTATATTTCTTGAAAATTTGTATGCATTTATTATACTCGCGTACATATATCTAAGTTATAGTTAGCGCTGACTTGTTAGTTTCATCAGAATGTTCACAGAAAATTCCTGACTAACCCTTTTACGCTTTACTCCGTAATAGTTAGGGCAAATTAACATAAATAAACAATTACCCTATACACTTTTAGTGCAAGTTTTTCACTTTAGGTCATATTAAACAAAAGGAATTCCAATTCAGCCTGCAAGGAATATTTGCTTCTAATATTTAACTCCATAGACGTAGTTTGAGCAAACATTTAGAGCAAATCATGAATGCTCCAACGACGGTTATTCATTCATTTTCAGATGAAGAAATAACTTGATTGAACATAATTAAAACTACTGAATAGTAATTAAGATATAAGACGACTGAATTCAATTAATTTCTCCATTATATCAATTAATTATCGACGTTGATATACAAGTGTAGGGATAATTAATTAGGACACCCAAGCTTTTGAAAACTAATTGTTAAATACTTTAACGAGTTTACTACTTATTCTAGTCAATTACCCATGAAGAAAATTACAGTAAATTCTGGTCTGATAAATGGCTTGCGATATAATAATTTTGTTTTTTAAATTCACCAAATTGTAACGCCACTGATGACCCTAGGAAAATCGCGTAAGGTCGTATGGCGACCAGTCAGTAACAGTAAAATACGAGGAAGACCAATAAACGCTAAACTGTCTCCACTGCTATCCATAAAAAGTAACTGAACTACTCTGAAATGAACATTTTGTGTCCTGCTTGCCAGAAATTATTAGTTAATAGTTTTTGTCCCTTTGTCGTGTCGGAAATTAAGACAAACTTCCCTGCAATGTAGGTAAACATTGTCAAATCGGAATATGTTAAGGTAGCGATAACGAAACTTGTTAATATTGAATCGACGAATGGCTGTATAGTAGGCAATTTCGTGTAATCGTAAAAATGGAATATTCCAGGTAAATAGTAGTTGTCTGGAATCACAAGTGACAGACAAATTCATATCGGGAGGTTTTTGACCTGAGAATTTTTATGATTTGTAATAAAGTCCAGAGCTATGCGAGTATCTGTGAAAATTGTTTCCAACATAAAATTATATATCTATGTATGTATGTTTGTATGTATACTTAAAATGATCAAATTTCACACGACTCCATGTTTCACTGTAAAAACAAATAAATGTTCGTACATTTTTGAGAAAATGGGGATGATGGAAATCGATGTTTCTTCAATTGAATGAAAGCCATAATTTAATTAGTCAGACATCGAGCAAGTAGGTATATCATGAACATTGATTGTCGATATATTTAGACCGTATCCGTCAATAATTGTTCTGTGCGATTGCAAATTTAATTGTACGGAAAGGGAAATGTCAGTCCGCTAAATTGGGTACCTACGGATATGTTTTGCGGTGGATTTTACGTTAATTGAATAACGCGCTATAATGAATCAGAAAGTCGATATTTCAATGATGTGGCCATTGCAGGATTTTGGGTACTATTAATAAAAGAAAAAAGCAACCAAACGATAATTGATCGACATTAATTACCTATAATAGCTAAAATCAGTACTAAACAAAAAGTAAAGTTTGCTTATCATCCCATCAGTAACCAAAATTAACTTCACATAATAGGTAGGCGAATTAATTCCCATTTGAGTCAACATAAATTTAAATGCCCGTACCCCATTGAATATACCCAATGTTTGCAAGGAAATCGTTTAATTTCGTAAAATCTGCAAACGTTGCATACCAATATTTGCAGTTAGGGCTCGTGTGCATGAAATGTAGAAATGCGATATCCTACCCGAAAAATATTACGGACATTTTGATGCCATATTGCCTATAAATACATTCGAAATGCAGTTATGTTTTTATAACGGGCATCATATCCGATCTAATATCGGAAGCGAAGAATCCCATTAACCTTATTGACCTGCCTTTAGGTAGATACTATTTTAAAAAACGTTTATTATTTCTTTCTGAAGTAACTTTGTTTAAAAATTTATAGTGGTAAATATTTTTGAATGGTTCCAGCGTAGGATAAAGACCTTGGCATTCAGATTAAGAAAATAACTTTGTTTAAATTCAGGTATAAAAAATTTCATTAAATAAGGCATAAATACGAGCGAATTACAGATGAAAAATTCCAAGCATAATCCTCAGCGTATGTTTGTGTAAACGTGTCGTCAACGAAAGGGTTAGGATAGGATAATATCCTAATTTTCCCTCTTTATAGTGTATTAACAAAGTATATTATCGCGGATTAACCCTAACTTGATGTTCCGTTTATAGTGGTCAGCTCCCCTTAAAGGCCATAAAGGGAGCCTAGTCAGGTATATTCAGCGGATTAATTATATACGTACCGAATTACGCCCGGTTGATTACTAATTAGGCATAAAGCTACTAACATCCGTCAAAATCCATTAGCTTTCACGGACAAAGGCATGCTTTCGATAAATATCTTAGATGGAAAGTGGATATTGAATATCTTAAATAATAAACATTCCCAACCACTTTGTCTAATAAATACCTATACATGTAATTCTTTTAATTATCTACCTAATTAATTTGTACTTTGTCTAATGTAGTAATTGAGACAGAACTTCATTGACCCAATTCTTGTATTTTTATTACATGTATTACATGCATAGACCTATTAAGTATGGACGCGGCACTATCGTTATTTTGAGGTTATTCAGCGTTCCCTATGATAGAGAGAGAGGTCCGTGAGAGATGGAGTTAGTTTGGGCTAAAAGTAGGCGGGGCCAAAAAAATATAAAATATATACAGGGTGCGTGAAAAAAGGCTATTAATCTGTTAAATTATTTATACGCTTAATATTTAAATATTGTTTTTATCTTGGTATCCACTTGGACAGAAGAATGACCTGGAAGAAGCATATTTTTTACAAGAGAATAAAGCAGTTAGGTCTTAAAATGCGAAATCTGTAATGGCTAATAGGTAGGATATTCCAATTAACAATACAAAATAGGAACTATATTTGCAAATGCGTGGGAATTTAGGCCCAGCTGAAAAATGCATTTTGCTCGGCAAAAAAATAATAAATCACAATATCCTCCACTGCACTCCTCAACCCTATTCTACCATAAGCTGCCCTCCTCTACCCCAGCTACCTTGCATATCTGAAAACGTTACTCACGTTGTCTTTTGCTTTCTTACTATTGGCTAATCATTTGTCCAATCTCTCATTGCCATATGCCCAAACTAGCTGCATCTCTCTCATTCATCGACAACACTACCTCTTTGTCTAAACCGCGTCCATAGTTAATAGGTCTATGATTACATGTTATATTTGTAAATAAACTACCCTTCCAGAATAAACTTCATCAAAACAAAAATCAAAGCACCCTCCTCTGAATAATGTACGCATAATCGCAATAATGAGACTGTTATTAAACCGATATAATTCTGGAATTACAGGCTAATTTCCAACAAATATTTGCAAATTCATACCGCGTAGAAATTTGACGAGCAACGCCGGCTTCGGTGGAGTAGGACGAAGAGGAAGAGAGAAGGAATGTAAAAGAGAATTAGCAATTTTAACGGAGGACACATTCAAGGGAAGAGGAAGCAATGTCGGCGTAGATTAGCATATTGTGAACGTTGTGCTTCGCTCGACGGCGAATATTTCGGATGGATTTTACGAGACGGCCGCCCTCGTGCGAAAGATATCACCTCGTAAATTTCCGCGACTGAAAATATGATGACCCGTGTCCTGTTTACGACCTGCTGCTACCCTCAGAGTGATCTATTTCTATATATAACCTTTTAATAATTCCAGTTGCACTCCTGCAATCAATACACCAGATCTCTGGATGTATTTTTATGAGATACATCGAAACAACAAATTAATATATTAAATATTTTATCCAAAATAATCTCGATGAATACATTGAATCAATTTTTGATTCTTTTTTAGGTATTTTATTAGGTCTGTGATGCCCGATTTCACCAACCAGTTCCTAAAGTTAGGTAATACCTAAACCGGATTTAGGAATTCCTAAGTACAATTTGCGTTTCACCATGCACTAAGTAATACCTAAAGGTAATAGGAAATGCGTAAAGTTAGGACAGCTCACTGGGCTTGCCTAAAACATTTAGGAAATACTTAACCATACTTTCCATGTGATTTCATGTGACTTAAGTTTTGACTGTCTTTAGACTCTTTAGATGAAAATTTAAAATGGGAGGAGAGTTTTTGGAAACTGGACGAAACTGATTTTTTTTTGCCTTTTTCGATATATAAAAATACGGCATTACAAATATTATAATGAATTGAAGATGATTTTTAATTTGATACACAGGAAGTTTTTGGAACTATTGACCGTACACATGCATGTAAATATCCATAGTCCTGGAGAAGAAGATATAGAAATATTTTACAAATCGGAAAGGTTATTTTTCTAATAATGTATAGACTACATCTTCAGCAGATTTAAAAATAACTAACCTAATTTAAAGATGGCCCGGATCGTCAACATCTCTACTTTTCTCTCAACATATTCAATTTCGATCTCCACTTATTCGGTTTACACGTCAAAATTAGGCAATGCTACCAATAAAATTCAAAAAATTGTCGAAATCAAATTTTTACCTAGGTATTTCTTAGTAAGGGATTTCTAATGTTGGTGAAATTCGATTTAGGTAAGTATTCGATTTAAGTAATTCCTACGTTAGGAAATACTTAATTAGGAAATGCCTAAAAACATGTTGGTGAAATCGGGCATGAGGGTATTTTTGAAATCTCTTGGCATTTCCGATAAGTGATTTATCAATGCGGAGTTTACACTTCAAATAAATTAACCGCAATTTGTACACCGAAATCGTTCATTATTTTCCAAACTTAAATACCCTAATTTATGCCAAACGTATAGTTCACCGACAAATAAAACTCTGTATAAATCTCTTGAGGACCATAAATTATAAAGTTTCAGTCCAATATTCCCGTTTACCATTTTCCCTAATTAAAATATTCTAATTAGTATATACCGAATGTCACATCCTAAACAAATTTGCGGCGAATTTGAAATGCAAATCCCGATTATCTATAAAAAAAAGTCGACTTTTATGCGCGAAATTTAAACAAAACGTCCATCTTCCTCGATGAATCGATTTAAGTCGCTGGAAAGTTAACCTCGGCGGAAACTAACGTGCGAGAATTCATTTTTATAATTGAAAAAAGCAATATCTGTTTACGACCGACAACTACACACAATTTCAGTGATTGAGAAAAGCATAACTCCGACGGTGAAAAACGCTCCGTTTCCATTCCATTCCATTCCCGGTAATGAAATCCGTAATCTGTAGCCTGGTTGTAGAATGCAAATGGAAACTTTTTGTCGGAATGTCCAAGTGTGCGTGTGTAGCATGTGTGAGAAGAGAGAGAGGTTTCGGTCACGCGACTGGGATGGGCAAAGGACACTCCATAGGCGTGTAAAAGAATAAAAAAACTGACCAACAAAAAGGATTTATTATTACGCTCTACGCAAGCATGCATAACAACTAAAATATCAAATAGGCGAGATTGAAATGCAAAGCGGTTTGTTATGCGGCGGGAATATTTTTTAATGAAGCTTTTAAGCCCCCCGCCAATGACCGAAAGGGTCTGTCGGAAGGGCTATCTATATTTATATTCTGAATAATATGTTAAATGTATTCTTGTCACGGTTTCAGATTGGTGACATGCCAAATCCCGAGCTGCGAATCATCACGAGTGTCTTCAACAAAGTCCAATATAAGGGTGAGTAGTATTTTATTACGTTTTAAGCCCTGAAACTCGCCCGTCTCGGGAAATTAGCCAGCAAAAAAAAATAATCAATACAACGATATACTTCTCATTTCTTTGTCAGTAGAAAACTTTTCTTTGAAATTTTATTAAATTAAAATTATCATCATCGGGAAGGATAATTAAATCTACTAATATCCTTTTATTTTTCGATGTAATGGAATTTTTGAGCTAAACTTTTTTACCTTCTATATGAATCCTTATACTTTATTAAGAGTTTAAAACTTTTAGTTTCGGATTTTCAATATCTGGAAGTTATTTGACAGTCGCACTTACTGTTTTCAAACTTTCGAGTACAAAAGGTATACGGTAAGTTCATAAGAAAAAAGTTGCTCGTTTCTTTCTAATAATCGTCATTAATTTCTTGTTCGAAATCAATCGGAAAATTCGAAATTTTCGTTCGGTACCTAATATAGAATTCGCGATAATTTTCTCTTGGTATACAAAGACATTTCAGCGCGGCAATAAAAATTTACCGGCAATTAAATTTTTACGATTTTTCAGCTTTTCACTTAGTTACTAATAACAATGCATTTTCCGCTTTTCATAAACAATAAACTTCTAAATGCGTCTAATATGCAAATGGCCGTGTTGTTTTATTCATTAATGCATATCGTTTCATAACATGCGATTACCGCTTTTCGAGATAATGTCCGTTGTTCCTATAATTTTTATAAAGAAATGTCCGTACAAACGGAATTTTCAATTTTACGTTTCAATTAATCGTTGCGAATTAATTTAATTTATTATTGAAAAACGCTGGTCTCATAGCAACAACTGGTCAAATTAAAGACGATGATTTCGGAGAACTCCTCACTATAGACCTATTCTGTTTTCGAAAGAGAGTGATGGAGTTATTTGATCAACATAAGAGAATAAAAGAAGCAAATATATTTCACGCGCAATATGTGGAACCATTTAAAATCTGCGCAATCATAAGTGCAAGAGAGATGAGATATTTGGCCTATTTCATTGCTGATTGACAGACACATTGAATGATTCTTAGATGAAAACTGTTTTAGATATAAAAAAGAAGAGACCATCTTCAATCTTAACCCCATTTTGTTTCTTGTTTCCGTTTGATGTTTGTTTATGTTCAGTGTGTATTATTTTTTAACAGTATTTCTTTGTATTATTTAGTATATTTATTTATAAAGGTTATAATTTTTTATATAGGTCAATGGGATTATTTCTTTGAAATATAAAATGGCTAGCCGATCAAAAAGCATTTTGGGAAACTTTGTACTAACCTCTTACTCTTTCTTAGACTTGACCTGCATATATTTTTTAACCCTAATCCTCTTTCTGGGCAGTAAAAACAAATTTGCATCGAGTCATCGCGTCCATTTCAAATTATAAATCCGACGGATTATTGGATAATGACAAATGACGTCTGAAGTATGTCTTAAGTTGTCATTGTCTGGTTGTCAGAACCGTATTGTACCTGAGGTGCGTTCGTTTGTTCGTTTAGATGTCAAGTTAATTGCCCACAGTATGCGCGCGCAGCACAGGTTAAACAGAATAGGTCTATTATTCGCGCCTTGAGTGTGCGATAAATTATGCGAGTATATGCGAGAGCTTCTAACAAATTGTTCTTAATGGAAGCCCACTCGGAAGATGAATAATAAAATATGGCTGACGCATCTGATCCATCTCCGGCTAGATTTTCCACCTCCATACATTTTTTTTCCTACTTCGCGATGTATTAGTCCATAAATCTGCGCCCTGGTTTTCCATCTTACTCATCGTGACGAGAACGGAAATTTCAGTGGCTCGGTTTTTTTTACCTTTTTATCAATATTTAATTATCTGTTTTTGATTTCATGCACGCGAATAAAAGAGTGCTGACAATCGAATTCAAGCGTCGATAACCCGCATCGCGGCGCTTTTAAACAAACGCTCGACATGATTTTTTTGTGACTCCTGCAATATTTGTGAACAGCAATATGGCCAGTGTAATTTTATGTACTTTTTGTCGGAATGCAATTAGTTATGCGGATTTGTAAACATGTATTAAAATTCGCAGTCACGTATAGCGATCATAGGGGGAAAATATTCGGAATGAATTTTATGATTGCATTTACTTAGTCGCTCGTCAACAAAGTGTTTTTTATGAATATTTTATTGCTAACATTACCTAGTTCATTTTAAAACGTTTATTAACAAAATACCGAAACCCACTGTTTGGATCTTTGAAGAGAGTTATACTTAAATGTGGTTCATAATAAAATATTTTGTATTATCTATTTATCGTCAAAAAGAGCAAAGAAACTTGTAGGGGTGTACAGAAATATGTAAATACTTAGTGCTAAAATAATAGGTTTCGGCGTTTCCGATTCCGAGGTTTTTACATAACTAACTATTCAAATTAAGTGAAAAGAGGCTTATGGAGTTGTCGGTGGGTTTGAAACGTGCCATAACTCTTTGCTCACGGAAGAAGAGATTCGAATCTAATTAATATTTAACCCTCCTTTGTTCGCCTCGCGATAACTTCGCCAAGTTTCCACGTCAAAAAGCCTAAAGTGAATATTCCGCGGTAATAAATTATGATAATGTAAGTAGAAGTGTATAAGCAGATTTGTTATTAATATAATTGAGTTGAACGATGTGAAATGTCTGAGTGATCTCGGAAAAAGGAGTTACAGGTAAATTCGGCTCGGAAATTTTATGAGGATGAGGATATCGAGAAGAGAACCGAGCTGATGGAAATTGGGGGAACAATAAAGATTCAGGAAAATAAACCCTCCACGCAGGAGATTAAACTCCGATTAACGCAGAATTTTGTTAATTACATTGTTACTTTATATTCTCTTTGTTATAATTACTATTATGATATTATAAATTAATGAGATTCGTTGTGAGCTTAATAATTTTGGCATACCAAAATTTATATTATAAGAAATTAAGCAAAAAAAATGTACAGCGATTAATAATAATAGACATTTAATTAGAAAAATAAAATCCATTTTACGCTGGACAAACTTTCCAAAGGAACACATCCTGAGTACTTACGGTTTTTTAAAATTGGCGTTAAGTCGGCGTGTTCACTCGAAATTAATATCAAGTTAAAAGCCATTTCTCAAACGATAATTACCTTTTGCCTCCGTCCCATACAAGAGGAAAAAGGAAGAGCGATCGCCATCTGTGCTCAATCAAAATGAACTTCCTCGCGGAGATTTTTTTCATTAAAGGTAATTAAAATGTCGTTGCTCGCTGATATAATTCTTGTGATTTATTGATTCGCCGGAGCCGGTTTTCTTGATATACTTTCATTCCCTTCAATGTAAATTTTCTTTCGTTTTAATCGCTAATTTATTTATTTTGGTAAAGTTCCTCTAACAGTATGTATAAAAAATTCGATATATAAAATTTATTAAATAAAAGCATACGAAAAGAGATTTTAAAAAACCACCAAAACTTTTCGTATTCCATAATATATTATTTAGACAGCGCACTGCCAAGGAATTCTATATTATTCGACTAATATTGAATTATTGATATTCCCTTAGTGGGTTCAAATACCTACTTCATGTGTTGTTAAAATGATTTATTTGAACTTTATCTGATTAAATCCACTAGGTGAATAACATAAATTTAGATTTATGTACCCGTTCCTACTCCGTTTGCAGAAGTGTTTGCTCACATTCAATAGCTTTAAAAACCAATCCAATTCACAAATTACTTAAATTAAATTAATTAAAATTTATTAGAGCCATTTTTACTATTACAACTAGCAAGTGGATTGTATATGGATTTATCCAATAACAGAAATAATCACTATATAGCATTCGAATATGCTCTGATAGCGGTCGGTATAACAATTCCTGATTCGAATGAATCGCCGAATCGTTAGTGTTTGTCATTTCTAGAATGGCTCGGGCGAATCGGGAAGCATCCCGAAAGGGACCATTTCGGCGACAAGTCGAAATGAATAGTCGCCGGATATTCAGGAAGTGCATCGCGGACACAGCATCCATTCCTGATAAATGGATCGCGGCCCGATATCCATCATCGGGGGCGTTTTGTTGGTATAAGCCCGCGGAAAATGGACGAAAAAAACGTTAATTGTTTGTCCCGAAAATCAATCGCGCGTTCATCGATCCACCAACCGCAACGCAAATATTTTAACCAAAATATTTTAACCAAAAAAGAATATCAGGGGCCTGTTTCATATAACTGACAAGTCCTGTGGGACAAGTGTAGTCTAAATTTGAGTGGGGTATTCGACAAGTTTGTGTTTCATAAAATTACACGAGTAGATTATTAGTGACAAGTGACTAGCCTAATATTACAAGTCTGTTTTACAATTGTAGATAGTTTTGCGTTTCATAAAAAATAAATTAAACAACACTTGTCATTTATTCCTATCATATATTAGTGTAAAGCAACAGGGACTTGATTTACTGTCACCATCCAATTTACTTGTAAATTTAAAAAAAAATGTGGTCTAGCGACAATGAGGAGGAAGCTTAATGAGAGTTTATTAAACGATTTCGAATGAATTCGATAAAAATGGAGGAAATATTAAAATCTATTGGTCCCCGCCTAATGTATAGAACCAACATATAGAAATTATGAATTGTCTTTGTTCGTTCCAATGCTCACATTTTATAGCTTTTGTAGATGTGGGACTAAATTTTCCAAATATAATGCCCTTTCTTTATTAAAATAATTGAATATTAAATAAATGTTGCTGCATTTTAGAAATAAGTTTTTTGTCAATAAACGAAATTGTCGTGGTTCACATCTAAAAATAGCTCCAACCAGAAAAAAACAATTTCAAAGTAAAAGTTTCCCAATATCGAAAAACGAAGGTTGTGCTATACTTATGCTCCTCAGTATAGTAAGTACTAATTTTTTCTTTTTGGCTTAATTCTGACGTTTAATTAATATTACAGTTGTAGAAAAACGGATGCCAAAAATTTAATTCGACAAGTGTCGATAATTATTTTATG